TTTTCGCTTTTACAGGTGTCAAGACCATTATTGTCGATCCTATAGTTTCCTCGGTTTTCACATTCATTTCTGTATCAGTGCTTGATCTTGCTTCATCGGACGACAATTTCTCCAACGCCATTGCAATTGCATCAAAATCTCTTGGCTTTGGGAACCGAGATATCGCGTCTTCTACATCCTCTCTTGTATCCATTTCGTTCCCATACCGTTCAAATCCAGGACTCTCGTACTCGAAAACAAGCGAAAGTTCGCTCTCCCTGAATCTCTTGTCAGAACATTGCAATTCGGATATTGTCTTGCTTACCGGCGTTTGCATGCCAGAATTAATGGGTAGTTGTCCATCTCTAAAGAAACCAGGCGTAGCAAGAGGCCCAGGTGTAGTGAAATGTCTTGTAGCAAGAGGCGTGTGCGGTAAATTGTCCAGCGTTTGTTGGTAACATTGAACGGATTGCGTGTTGATGGCTGGCTTTATAGGTAATAACTCCTTCGCGTTGTCATTCAACTCGAATGACTTTTGTTCATTTGATACTGCCTCCTTGAAAAAACAGGCGCGTTCAAACTCTTTCGACAATTCAGCTTAATTGTTTACATGTAATAGATAGCCAGTGTTACTAAATATCATTCCAAAATAACAGTTCAGAACATAAGACAATACCTATATTAAAGCCTTTAACCAGAATTTCCATGCCAATAATCATCCCAGTATCCGAATCAGTTATTAATAGTATCAGTGGCCTGTCCATTAGTACCTTTTCGGAGGACTTTAATCTGATTTTTCGAACGATTAGTTTATTATTTTACATGAAGCTACAGCGAATACTTGTAGACTTACCGTTTTGGTTCGGGTGCCTCACTTTGCTGATAAGGACTATTAGTGTTTTCCTTAATCAAAGACGTCATAAGAGATGGCGATGTTTGAGTAGACATTTCACTTGTAGTTGGGGGACGTATCGGGGTACTGTCCATTGGGGTATGTCTATAGAATTATACATTAATAACAAGTGGTAGTTCATTTCCTACAGACTTGTAAAAAAACAAATGACGTACTCGATTCTGTCTGTTAGCCATTTCAACGACTTTGGCAATTCATGCGTGCCCTTGAAAATTTTGGATGTTGATGGAACTGAAGACGCATTTGCAATCCTCACGGCAGAACTGGGTGTATACGCTAACGATTCTAGTCTGTTTGGCGTTTGAGTTGGAATATCATCCTTCGCGATAAACTGTTTGGATACCGACAGGTTTGCAGACGGATTTGCGATCCTTACGGCAGACCGGGGCGTACACGCTGATTCTAGTCTGATTGGTGTTGGAATATCATGTTGCTGTTTGGGCGTCGCCAAATTCACAGACGGATTTGCAATCCTTACAGCAGACCGGGGCGTGCATGCCAGTGATTCTGGTCTGTTCGGCGTTTGAGTTGTTGGAATGTCATCTTGTATTCCATCTTTCACGATAGGCTGTTTGGGCGTCGACAAATTCACAGACGGATTTGCAATCCTTACGGCAGACCGGGGCGTGCATGCCAGTGATTCTAGTCTGTTCGGCGTTTGAGTTGTTGGAATGTCATCTTGTATTCCATCCTTCGCGATAGGCTGTTTGGGCGTCGACAAATTCACAGACGGATTTGCAATCCTTACGGCAGACCGAGGCGTGCATGCCAATGATTCTAGTCTGTTCGGCGTTTGAGCTGTTGCAATGTCATCTTGCATTCCATCTTTCACGATAGGCTGTTTGGACGTTGACAGAGTCGCAGACGGGTTTGCAATCCTTACGGCAGATCGAGGTGTATATGTAAATGATTCTTGTCTATTCGGCATTTTGGTCGTTGACATGTTGTCGTGCATTCCGTCCTTTGCGATAACTTGCGGGTCTCTTACGCAAAACGCTTTAGGGGATGGAACGGTATAATTCTCAATCTGTCTCTTGTCCGTCACGGGATACGCAACTCTCACTCGACCAGCCTTGGGTGTGGGTGTGTAGCTACCTTGACGATCTTGGTTCTTAGATTCAGCAGACCGAGGAATGCGACTAGCGGTCATTATACGAACCGTACGTGGCGTTTCCTCTTCGTTCTTTTGCGTTGATGCGGGAGTACATGAAGACTGGATCGCGTTTCGCTGTGGACTTGATGTAATCGGTGATTCTAATTTTATTGGTGACAAAATCGTTGATAATATTAGAGGTGAGTCGAGGGGCCGGCCGACTCGTTTTTGGTTATTTGGGGTCTTTGGTGTCGCTGGCCTGTCATTTTGCACATCATCAGTATCGGCAGCTAAAAGACGTGCAGGTTTGCCAGCTATACCGAGATGTCTTGGAGAACGTCCAGGAGTCACGCACGCCGTAGTAGCTGTTAGTGACGGTTGAGCAGTTTGTTGTGTTACGGCACTTGTTACTTTACGCTCAATGTTAAGTACTGAAGTAGGGTCTACCGAAGCTGCTTCGTTTTTGTCTTTGTTTTCAGAATTAACATGCTTTGCATCATCTAATCATACTTGCCGATTAATCGGTGAATTGTAATAAACGATAATGACAATCAGACCACAGGCCAACACTCACCAGACGATATTTGTTGTTTGACCACAGGCTTTCGTACAGCTTGACCTGATTGCGGCTGTTGTCGGAGCGGCTCAAAAGTAGGTACTCGAACTTTACCTCTATAAATGTAGAGCTATTAATTGACAATAATGCTAATTACGGTTACTTTTATTGACATACGTTTTTGTTTTCGCTTTCTCTGCTTCTTTTTTCTTCTTAAACGCTTCAAGGCGTTTTTTCCTCTCATTAAAGTCTTCTCGTGGTAGCGGTGTAGGTGTAGGTAGATTGTCTACCTCATTAAGGACAGTTATAGGCTTTGTCTTTATAGTCTTGTTTACTTGATTTTTGTTCATTTTTTTACAGAACCTGGGGGGGGGGATAAGCAAAATCAACAGGATGAAGCTGGTCGGATCACTTGTCGCGAAGTAATTTGTTTATACAACAAAGCGCGACATGCCCCAAATATGGAAAGATCGAATGATCGGTACAACAACATAACACTAGATGGGACACAAATAATGAATCATTCGTGTATATAGTTAACGTCATTTTTTGTTGTAAAATTTCTTTGTTCTAAGAATTTAAGCAAGCGCTTGTCTTCCCGTCCGCAAGGAATTAATTGTTTCCTCCACGTCATTTGAGTTTTTTCAACGTGTTTCTGCAAAACGTCTTCAGCTATCAAAAAATATTTGCTTTTGTAGGTAACTTAGTACTAACCAAGTTGAGGCATGGAGGATGCAAGCTTAGAAGTCATACAGTCATCCGTTTTATTTGAGTTGATCTTTTCCCAAGTCTCTCCAATAAGTTCTATTGCTCTTGATGTTCAGTTTTTTTACTGCATGTTCTTCATTTAATTCGTACCAAAAAATTTTCAATAGTGAGCTTTAAAATTACAAATTATGCCTGCGTCCACTAGGTCGTATGTGCGATGTAGCATTCGACGGAATATATTCTATGTGCAAGTTTTTTAAATCGAGCGAAGAACCATTCGAATGCGTAGACAATTATAATTAAACTTTTTTTCGGGCCTCTTCATCTCGATAGCTTTGTCGTTTTATTTTAACGAAATGGGACGAGACGATTGCTAAAACAAAACTGTAGGACGCAAGTATAATTACCTTCCATCCAAAGCTAAAGCTCCTGCAAACATTGATTTTGCAGAATAACAATTTCGGTAGGAGGTTTGCAAAGAAGATGTCGGAAAAAGGTTAGAGAATAATGTTTTCATAGTAAATGGACTGGGCGTAATTGTGTTAGTACGGTAAATTTTTTTGTATCATGGAAATGTATTAACAAGCATTCGTATCATTACAGAATAACTTCTTCGATTTAATTTATGTAAGTCTGGACGCTTACAGAAAATATGCTTAAGTTGTGACGAGGCACTGTTAACATTGCTAATATTTACTTACGGATTACATTAAAATTACGCATCTTCAGCAGATATCGATATTGATATACTGTATATACGAATTACAATTTGTGCGAAGAAGCTGACATGAACTGAGAGGCTTTAGTAAAGTGGGCAAAATCGTAATTGTAACTTGACATACATTATAATTATCAAGTCCTTAATATTAAACGGGATAGAGTTGCTATCTGAAGTGCTAATCCACGTGATACAATATAATAACAATGTCCAGCGAAATAGGATGTCATTTTCGGTCTTGGAATTTAAACTAATATGTGATTGACAGTAACAAGAACGAAAATACTAAAATTGACGTATTCATTTCCTATATCGATAAGGATTAAGGTCATGGATTAAGAAACTTTGTAAGGAAAGGCTTCTATCAGGCTCATTTATTTTCTTGTCAGTAATTTACGATAATATTACGTAGACATTAGGTAATAACATATATGTGTTGATACTTCGGTTCTATACACTTTATGTTCCAGTTTCTATAAACCTGGGAACAAGAATAAAAAGGACCTTTATTATTATTATTTTTATTATTATTAGTAGTAGTAGTAGTACACTCTCAAATTTCACCACCAGTATAAACACTTTGTGTCTCATGTACCAATCAATATTACAGTCATAAAATTCTTATTATCCGTGTAGGCAATACATATTGTAGCAGGTTAAAACAACGCATCGATAATCTTCCTTTTTGGTATGGAATTTTTAAAATATTTTGGGGCACCTTTGTGAATTTTAATACAAGGTAAATAAAATACGTTGTGTTATCAAGAAAAGAATACGTTGTTATAAACGTCATCTACATGAAAATTTAGCCTTTTGCTTAATTAATTAATCAATTATTATTATTTTTACTTTTATTTATTATTATCTCTAACTAATAAATTTATTATGTTACGAAAAAGTTTATGCTTACTTAATGTACAGTACAACAGCAAATTTTCTTGACCGTATTTTTGGCATGTACTCAGTAATAATGATAATATCAATTTTTTACAAGTCCTTTTAAGTATAATACAAATAAAAAACTTGTTCATATTTTGTAACACTATAACAATTATCACATGTTCCAACATTCATTGCTTGCTGCTCTAGTCGTATTAGTATGGGTATAAACATATCTTGAGTTAAAATATTTGATGTTTGAAATTTTTTCTGAAGACATCAGGCCAACCTGAAATCAGGGTTTGTTATATGCTATGTGCAGGGAAATTCTTAACATGTTTGATTATTCCTGATTTTCGAGGGTATGAGTGGATTGATGGTTTATCGCCCGCGTAGTATAACGTCAAATGAACTGAGGTTTTAGTTCCCACAAGAGGGTCAGAATCTTTTTTCAATCGGAAAAGAGTGGGCTCTGCATTCTAGTCATGAAGCGAGCGCTATCGCGTCGATCAAGGCAATCAGGAAAGAATTGCCAAAACAAGGACAGTACTGAAATTGACAGCGAAACAATGAATAGAGCTCTTTTTATTCATTGCCAGTTTTATAAACTCCACTACTACATTATTATAACCTAAACCCAGCAAAGGCAGCTAGCAATAAACGTGCAGGTTTTATAGTTATTTCATTTAATTGGAAGAGCAAATAAACGGCGAATTACAAAAGTGAGTCACTAAATCACAATAATGGACGACTTTGTTTTACATGAACACGAACCAATCGTCGTCTTCGTAACCGCCACCATATCCAAACTATCCCCTAAACTTGAGCAAGCTGAAATCTGATAAGGGAGGTAACCAATGAGAACTATTTCTTGGTTTAGACAGATTCCCAGTAGGTAAGAGCGTACTAGAATATTTACCCTCCTTGAGACGTGATAACGGCTTGCATCATTATGATAGATGGTATTCCATGCAGAATTGTCTTTTCCCATCTTATAAATAAGTTTGTCAATATCAGTAAAAAATGTCCTTGCATCAGGACGCTTATCAGGATCGGAATCACAACACTGCTCGGCAAGTTCCTTGTATTCCTCTGGTGCGAAATCAGGCATCGGATAAATAAACCGAAATAATGTGGTGCTTTGAACCTGTGGGCATGCATGCAAGGTAAGTCGACCCATCTTTTTACCTTGCAAAGTATGATAGTACCAATCTATATATGACTTTATTTCTTTACCAAACGTGTGCTGTATATGGCTTTCTGAGACATTGTCACATGAACGTTCAATGTCTGGTTTCGGTTATGGCCATAAGGCATCTATGACAATTGTTATTTAATTCGAAATTAGTACATCAGTATATGTTTCATGTCCCACCGACAAGATCAACAGCAAGTAAAATGGATGGGAAATTTAAATAATTCAGTAACTGTTCTCACTACTGATTCCCTGCTGAAATAACGATGGCACTTGCTCCTCCTCCTCCATTACAAATTCCAGCTACACCAATCTTTCCGGCTTTGTGCTGAAGCACAGAGAGCAAAGTACAGACAATCCTTGCACCAGAGCATCCTAGTGGATGGCCCATAGCCACTGCTCCTCCAAATACATTGACTTTCTCCTCATCTAATCCGAGAAGCTTCAAATTAGCAAGAGCTACCACAGAAAAGGCCTCATTGATCTCATAATAATCAACTGATGACTCTGGAACGTTGGCATGTTTCAAAGCTTTCGGGATTGCCTTCGAAGGTGCTGTTGTAAAGTCCAAAGGTTGCTGATCGAAAAATACATGAATGTATTAGAGTTGTTGTTGATAAATATAGCATTGTAGAGGTCCGGTTCATTTGCCCGACAAAAACTACCCAAAAAAAGGATAACTTTGAAATAATGCTGGTAAATATTTGTCGGGCAAATGAACTGTTGGGCAAGTGATTGTCGGGCAAGTAAACGGCTCCCCATTGTAGAATAACGACCAACCTGAGCAGCCTCACCCCAACCCAATATTTTGGCAACAACATTGATGCCTAGTTCACGCGCCTTATCTCCACTAATAAGAACAACTGCTGCTGCTCCATCACTCAAAGGAGATGAATTGGGTGCTGTTACTGTACCGTTGTCAACAAAGGCCGGACGCACTGATCGTAGTTTGTCGATATTAAGCTAGAAAAGCAGAGTAAGTAATTAAATGACAGCAAAGCGTTATGATGAAAGGGGGAAAGACTAACATTGTTAATCTCGTCATCCTGCGTAATAACTTTATCGGGCTTCCCTCTACCCCCAGAGGCAGTTATAGGTACAATTTCATCTGCAAAGTAGTTTGCCTCAAAGGCTGCCCGAGCTCGTTGATATGATGAGATTGCATAATCATCCTATTATGAGCAAATAAAAATATGCATTATTAAAAGAAAAGTTCAATGGCACGTTTCAACATCACAGAACAGCGCAAAAAGCTTGTTGTAACTAATCAATTACCTGCTGCTGGCGAGTAAATTCGTGTTTTTCTGCACATTTCTCAGCAGCAATTCCCATGATATTTTTATGCATTGCATCGGTCAACCCATCTTTAACAATACCATCGACAAGGGTCTGATCGCCATACCTAGACCCAAACCGTGCTTTGGGGACGTAGTATGGTGTATTACTCATGGACTCGGTCCCACCAGCTACAACAATCTGGAAGCATCTTGGGTATGAGCGCTTTGAGCGATTCAAAAACTTGTACAAGTCACTTGACTAAAAAATCTTACGTCAGCATTGCCAGTCATGATTGCTTGAGCACCAAGGATTATAGCTTTCATGCTAGAGGCGCAGACTTTGTTTACGGTTGTTGCAATGACATGAACGCCAAGTTTGGCTCCCAAGGCTACTTGACGTGCGGGGTTTTGACCTGAACAAGGAATGATATTTTTTAAATACCGTATACATACCGCCATAATATAGTAGCAAAGCAAAAAGTCGAGTCACCTAAATTAGCTGAGAGGACATTTCCGAAAAAAATCTCTTCGACGAGGCCAGGCTCAATGTTGGCCTTTTTTAATGCAGCTGTGCAAACAATGTAAAAAAAAAATAAAATAAAAATAAAAGAAATCGGAACTTTAGACTGAGAGATATTGTCAATCGTAAAAGAAATGCGGTTCTCAACATTTATTACCTTCGACGGCAATACTTCCCAGTTTAGTAGCAGAGAATGAAGCCAGAGAACCATTGAATCCTCCCAGGGGAGTACGAGCAACAGCGGCAATGTAGACGTCTGCATTCGATGATGTCAGATGACATCAGCTTCTATTATTAGACATACTATAAGCGTAAACACTCTTATATTGTATTTGAAATTACCTCTTTGAGCGACCATAATGACGATTACGACAGAGAACCTAACACGCAAGCGAAGAATTAAAGTTACGGAGAAAAGAAAGTTTTTTTTTTTCATGTATTCTTGCCGGTTATATATGCCACATTGTTACACGATTGCCATTGTCGATGTACATGATAAACTAAAGTGGGTTTAAAAGATGTTCTGTAAATTTCTAATAATGAGTCCTGAATTTTGACAAGTAATTTTAATGATTCTCACTGTTGATTAGCAGCAGAAATTGGGTAACTTTTCTTTCCGTAAGCAAATTGTGTTTTTCTATCTCGGTACAACCAATGGGGTTCTAAATTGATACTGAAACGGTTATAATGACGACTCCCTGCGGACTAGGGTCCTGATGCAAGGGGCAAATATGCAATACATCTTTACTGTATACCTAACTGGTATTCGAATATACTGAAAAACAATTGTTTTTATAACAATCATCGTTACTTGAACAGCAGATGTTAATGTCAGAGATGTGCGCCAAATAATATATACATCGCTCGGTTTTAAGTGACGCAAGTACTAGAATAAGAATAATAGTATGAGCTAAGTTCGTGAATAATCTCAAGTAACGTACAAACTATACCAATTCCAAATCAAGCTAAACATACCTGATATACAATTCGAGAGCATGCACAACTGTTGGCAGCGAGCAAAAAATCGTTTTTGTAATCTAGATTCAAACAACGAAAAGTTAACAGATAAAGAAGCAAGACAAAATGCAAACAAGCAGTACAGTAAATAGTTCACTTTCATTATCACTGGAGTGGAATTCATTAATTTAAGATAATACATTTATAAAAGGCATTTTAACATTTGTTACATACATAATTCAACACTTGCATAATAATATTTTATATTCAAAATTAACAATATACAGTATTTATCAATAATAATAATATAAGAATTCAAAAACAGGCTATAATAACTATTTATATTATTTATATTGACAACACAACTGTTGTTTTGTATCTGCCCTAATTTATAAACAAATTTAGTTAAAGAGCCTTTATATTCTGTGAGGCGCAGTAATGTTAGTGTGACAAAACCAGACCAGACAAAGTGAACATTTGATTATGTGACATAAATGTGGCTGATTATGATGTGGCTGTAAAACTGACCAGGGTAACTGATGATGTTCTGCCTTGTTAATCTCAATGTTTCCTTTATCATACCAGAAGGTGAGGAATATAATAATAAGCCATAACAGGAGTAATATTAATATAGGATTATCCCTATATAAAAATATTAATATGAAACTAATTTACATTAAATCCACCATGGAACCAAAGAATT